TGGCACAGCAGATTGGTGCGCGCAAGTATATCGAATGCTCAGCACTCAGTGGGGAGAATGTAAATGATGTTTTTGAGGCAGCAACCAGAGCAGCGTTGTTAAGCTCAGCAGAAATTAAACCTCATTGCTGTAACTGTGTCGTGCTGTAGAACCCGTTCTTTATACAAGTAAAATCTCACACAAGACAAAGTCCCCCCTTTTATTTTTATATTTTATTGACATCCCTCCCTCTCTTGAAGTATTATATAATAGTGTTTTCGATTATATAATAGGAATTCTTGAGATTCCAGAGCGAACGAAGTGCGATATTCCAAAGCAAAATGATTTGAATAAATTACATATGGACCCCGCTTATTTCTTCTGGAAGATAACGTACCAATTATCTTTATCATATCCAGATTCTATGATATGTGTATTATCAATCTGTCTAATTAAACCTTCCAGTTCACCCTTTCTAAATAAGTGATAATACCTAATACGAAATAATAATAATTAAGGAACTATTTTATTTTACGTGAAATTCTACTGGCTAGTTGCCTACCTCTGATACACTTTTCCTGTAACGACTCCTTGATCTTGCATTGACCATGGAACGAAAATGTCTTGATGATCAGGAGAGAACTGCCTGCGGCTAGACTGTTCGAGCGCCCAAACATAAGTCAAGATTTTCGACTCGGGCAATGCGATACGATGAAGTTCCTTTTTTCACTCAATAGAAAATTGACCTTTTCTTAGATTATATCGCTCGGTACCTCAACATCAACACGATATGCATCACCCCCACCTTTATAGCGGCCAATCGTCGTTCTTCAGTGGTGAAATGATGTATCACCGCTATCGAAATCACAAAATCCTTTGTATAATGTTAGCCAATTATCTTAATTGATCTATAAACAATTTACGAACGGTTCATACGACTTACAAAACTGTTGCTTCGAAAGGGAAGATTGAGAGCATCACCGACTAGAATGTCAAATCCTCGCTCGTGAGCGATCTGACAAAGCGTAGGGCTTCTATAAATATATGTAATTTGAGTTTTTTATTCTGTAGACTCTATAATGTCGTATCTTGTATGCTCTCTCACCTGTCGGATCCAATGACTATAACATCTTTGTTGACACCCAAGTATTTCCCATTTCCACATCCGATGTCTGCTCCAATACTTCCAACTGCCATGCTCTTTAAAAAATCTTCAACTACGGGCCATGGCTACTGAAGTCACATGCATGGATGAGGACACAAAGGACACTAATTATATTTTACGAAAATAGAGAGAACCTTATATCTTGTGGCACTAAAATGAGTAGCTATGGCCTCGTACACATCATGCACATGGGTTTGTTCTGTTTTCTCTGGTGGAAACGAGTCGTTGGACTGAGTCACTGCCGTTGGTGTAGGTTTTGTTGGTGGCATTATCGTTGATTGATATTGAGTAAGCCTCGATATTAATATGCATAATAAAGGTCACACGAAATACCTGCATGCTTATGATTACGTAACAATGTGCCAATTAATAAATGCGAGGAACATTCCTTAGTAACAGGGCAGCCCCGTTAATCTATAGTCACGTCATAATTTTTGAAGGGTGTGATTAATTAATTTATATTAAATAGTGTGGGAGCTGATGCTGAAATCCGGCTGATGCTGAAACTGTGATCTTTCATTGGTTGATCAGATTTTATTCTCTAACCCCATTGGTTAGATTCAGCATCAGCCGGATTTCAGCATCAGCCGCAACATTTTTTTTTATATAGAGATGATCCTATATATTAATCCTGTTATGGTTTATATTCATCACATTCCGGTATGATAAGTGAACATTAAAATTAACAAGTCTATAAGTTATGAGAATAAGCACCATTATTACTTTCAAAACGTCATCAGTCATACTGGTCAATTTTACAGCCACATCATAATCAGCCCCTCATTTGTAGAATGTTCACTTTGTCTGGTTTTGTTGCAGCATGCCCCATATATTATCATTCTCAATGTTTTGCTCGACCATTGAGGTTAAAATTCGTACATTGTCTTATCTAATACTAATGCTAACACGGCTTTTCTTTGCCAAGTATTTATCAAATCTGAAATCAAGCAGCGCGTTATGATGTGGTTCAAATGGGCAAGACGCGGCCTGTTATAACTATATTTGTAATAGTAATGGATTCTGCAAGACTTGTAGGCGTATGGACAGTTCAATTACATTATTGTTCACTAATTAATGGATTCTGCAAGATTTGTGGGTGTATGGAAAGTTTCATTACATGTCTTGCAAACCTATTCAATGGATGCTTGATGTTTTATACTTTATTATCTAATAAACCTTATTCTTCCAGGCGTCTCTTATTTCAGCAAATATAGCTTTTAATTAGAAAGACCATATGTATACCTTCATTAAAGAACGCAAACCTTCTCATCTCAATATCGGAGAATAATATGTTACTGGTGGATTTTGATAACACAAACCCATAACTAAAAGTGCAAAAGGAAGTTAATGTTATATTGGAAGTTAAGACATAGGGCCTTCTCAACAGCTTGATGCCT